CTCGTATATGTAGCTATTAGTTGTAGCCAATACTGGAAACACGTCAAGTGTAGAATCAATTGAAATTTCTATTCGACAAAACCGTACGATTATTTGTGATGTCTTCTCAAAATTGATACTTTTCCATAAAATTTTTATCAAATCTCCCGGAAAATAGGTATCATTCTCAAGCGGTAATGCTCCTGCAATAATCAATGGCTCTCTTGATATGTAAAATTTTTCACTTGTTTTTTTATATGATGAAAATTTATGATAAAAATCAAATTCAAAATAATATTCATCATGAGAAGATATATTCAATAATAAAGGAATAGTGAATGAAATATTTTTAATATTAATATATGTATTCAATTGATTTATTTGAGAATTCGATCTGAATCGTTTTCGACACAGTATTATTTTAAGATGATTTGTTTCATCAATATTCAAATATGACCATCGAATAGTAATCGTTTGTCCAGGATAAAATATTTCACCACCATGTGGTAAATTTGGAGTGAAATACCATGAATCAGAAAATAATTTTAAATCAGATATTGAACGTTTTTTACGTAATAACATTCGTGTTGGAATATCATATTGTTCAATAACTAGGCTTAATGTTATATTAGCAAAACATACCAGTGGACTTAGATTCATATCTTTTCGAGTATAAATAATTATCTTTTTATTTTTAATTCGAAATGATATGATACGTTGAATAATTAATATCGGTTCTTGTGTTGTTACATTTCGACAACCCCATTCTTTGCCACCATTCACAAATTGAACACCTGAAATAATCCATTTATTATAGATAAAAATAGTATTTTTTATTGAATCAAATGTAAGAATGAGTTGTTGTTGAATATCGAATAGACATTGAACTGATTGAAGAGATAAAATAGCATCGAGAACAATACATCCTGTTCGATGGAGTTTAGCATCAGTTTTAAGTTGAATTTTTTCTATATTATTGGATAAACTCTTTTGATATTGAATATCTCTTTTCGTAATATCGAATGTTTCTTCAAAGATATTCGAATGAAGTGGAAGACCTGTGAAAAAATCAATATGTTTTACTTTGTTCATTTTCGATTGGGGAATAGAATCAAACGAAGGACGATTCATTGTCACATATGATCCATAAATGATGAATAAATAAATAATAGCAATGAACATCATGAATAGCCAAATTTAAAATTTCTTTCAAAATAGCTAAAAATATTTTCACAATTGTTCATTTAATTTATCATGAATGCTTTTTAGCAAATGATTTTTTCTTTCATTTATATATTACCGTTTACAATAATACGCAATAGATTTTTACTATTTGGTGTCATTGCACTTGCATTTTTATTACACAATAAATAACAACATGTAAAGTTTTATGCAGTTTGTGTATCGATAAAATCACTTAATTTCAATGAATAAGCGGTATAATATTACCAAAAGTAGTTATTCATTATATTATATGTTCTTTCTCACATATACATAAATCGAAAATGTTTGTCGAAGTGCTTGCTTTTACTCTTACTCATCGTAGAATTTTACAAGCGTATGCAAATAGGAATAAGTTCTTTGATCAATGACACTTTCCAGAGAGAGAAAATCATCGATTGATATATGCATGTTGGCGACCTATTAGACAAGAAAAGAACAAGAGAAAATGTAAAATAGTCCATGAGGATGACATTTAGTTAGAACGTATGAAAAAATGAGGCACCTTTGACATACTGGTGTGTATAATGTGAAGCACAGTTTGCTTGACGAATAAATGCTTTTTAGGACAAATGTATGAAAATTTTCGACACACAGCAACATATACAAACATGTAGTACTTTTGTAGTAGATATTGAATTAAAAAAGTAGCCGAAGAAAATCCATAGAAAAGAATAATACATGTATTCCGAGGATGAATACAAAAAGCATTGCTGTTTTCTAGGACTTTGTTTGCTGCAAAAGTACAAACAAGTATGAATATTTGAAGTTCAATAAAGAATACAAAATAGAATTGATTGCAATGAATAGAGCAAAGCTGAAAACTATGAATAAAGAACTTAAATTTAAAAAAAAAACACTCATATATTACTTCTATACGAAGCAGAAAATTGTATTCTTTCTTCTTCCCCAATGTATATGTTTGACTGTGCTTTGATTGAAATTCAGACAAAGACAATAAGAGAAAAGGCTATTCTCTAAACTAAATATGTTATTGTTTCTATATCTTTGCTTCATTTAGTAAATTAAATACTGCCAATCATTACTAGATATGGGCAGGACTAACATTTTTGGTCCTGATCTCAGTCTAGTCCCGATCCTAGTGGCCGACACTCGTCCTGCATATGTCTACTCAGATAAAAATAATGGATGAAATAATATTTTTAAATAAAAGTTTCGTTATTTAAAATGATTCTGTGAATCAAATTAAGAAATATAATCAGAAGAGACGGCTTCTTCATAATTTATTCCAAGTAAACGGGTATTATCAAAGTATTTATCAAAATCATATTCACAAATGGAAAAAAGAATGATTGTCTAAAGGTGATAAAGTAATGTTCTGTGAACAAGATGAATGTATGCAATCAGTCGATGGCGAAAACATATTTTACTGTTTATAATGATGAAATTTTTTATTTTTTTTTATGAAAGCGAGTACATGATTATGATGCGTTTATTCATTAACACTAAATATTTATAGATTTTATTTGTATTTGTGTCGTCTTAATTATCATAATGTGTTGTTTTCTCGTATGAAAAAATATTTTAATGATATATAAAAAACTATATAGTATCGGATTTCTATCCCAGTTCCGATAATGATTTGTACTTTTTGTTTGGGGTCTCGCACATGTCTATTCATCTTGAAGTATGATGAAGTATTTGGACTTTACTGTATGTAAGGACTTTCACTGATAATCAAAGCATGATTGGACAAAGAATATCATTTATTTAAAAATATTACATTACATAGATTGGTTTTTCTTCAATATACAACATAATACTGCTTGATGATGCATAAAAATATCTTGCAGAGAAATGTTCAAACTGAACTATAGAATGTTGCTGAAAACAGAAACGGATTAAGTTTTAATTAAGATTCAATAGGTTCATGTGTCACTGAGATCGATTGAAGAGAAACCGAAAACAATTTAAGGATTAAATTATAAGAGCTAACAAATCAGTCAGAGGCGCCTCAATTAGTTACAACATCGTTCTCAATATAGTCTTGACTACTTAATGAAGATCAGTTTAATATCTTGATACATTAGTGTTCTTAAAATAAGCTTGATCCATGTGCCAGTTTTATCACAATAAAATCGAATAATATTAGTGATATAATTATAAAATTACACTTATTCAAGAATGATGCTACAAAGGAAGAAGAAACAACAACTACACTTGATCAATTTACAGTTGATTTTGTCAATGAGTACGTACAATTACTTGAAATGGTGTTCAATTTAATTTATCCTATCATATAAACTTTCTTTTATTTTATCCTATTATCATTATGAAAGAAAATGTTCGTATACTAACTGTTAGAAAATTAGACTACTCGTAGTTATGAATGATATTTTCTTGATTTAAGATCAAATTAAATTCCATGACGAAAACTTGAATCGTCATAGTTATCATTATTTGCTTTGTCACTATCATCATTAAATCAATGTGGCCAATACAACTGACAAAAAAACAATTTTAACTACGAGCCTCAGAATATCTCAATGTTGAATTTCTGTTATTCTGGGGGTATCATCTGATAATACTTTATGTCAATGCCACAAAACAAATAACTAATATTTTAATGTTTGACAAGAAAAAAATGTCATCATTAATTTTATGTTTGAATAAGTCAAACGCATTATTTTACAAAATCAATCAATTGATTGTTACTTACTATTACATAGTATGATTTTATTTTGATTTGAACCTTCATATAAAACATCATAAACTAACCATTGTCATTTGATACTTGTTCTATTTTGATTATGTCGTCATGCGATAAGATAAGATTTAAGCAACTAATAAACGCACGCATACCTTCATCAAAAGACGTAAAACGAAACCATTGATTACACATGAATATAGAACAACAGCTTACATTTCTTCAAGAAAAGAGGAATTAAATAATAAAAATGACAAATTCGTCTGACTATCAAAATCAACAACTTCAAGAGAAGATCAATAATTGTAAAGATTGTTCAAGAATAGATTTACGAAAACAAAAATTAACAGATTTAGATATAGAGATTATTATTAAAGAAGCAATTATTAAAAAACAATGTTCTATGCTCTGGTTAATGAATAATAATATAACATCACAAGGTATTTTAAATCTAGCGTCAACTTTACGCAATAATCCTACATTAGAAGGTTTATCTCTTTGTGATAATGGTATTAATGATATTGATGTGTTTAACCTAGCACGTGCATTATCTCATAGCAATTCAAGATTAAATAGACTTGCTCTTACCTCAAATAATATCACAGATGAAGGTGTAAAACATCTTGCTGAAATGCTTAAATTGAATATTTCATTAACTCAACTTTGGTTAGGTTTCAATAAAATCAGTGACCAAGGAGTGAAAATATTGACCGAAGCGCTTGCTCATCATAATAAGACTCTTTATGTATTATCTCTTTCATGGAATAATCAAGTGACTGATTCAAGTGTTGATTTTTTTATTAATATGTTTGAACATAATCAAACATTAAGAACGGTTTGTCTCGTAAATTGTAATTTATCTGAGACAAGTAAATTAAAACTACGAAACGCAACAAATCTACGCAAAGAATTTTATCTCGATCTCTAATTTTATATATTTTTTCAATTGTTTATCCATAAAAACAAAAAAGAATAAAATTTAGTAATTTTAAGATACATATCAGATAATTCTTGACTATCAATAAATATTGTTCAATGATTTAATCTTTCGAAATAACAATTCACCAATAATCTTGGAAATTCCTTTATTGTAACTAATAGATTAAAATACAAAGAAATTTAAAATATATTCTTATATTCCACTTGGTGCACCATTTTTTCGTACATCACCACAAGCCCATAATTGATTTTCTTGTTTTCTCCATTCAATACCTTGTACAATTGATCCTCCATACATACCACACTGAATATTATGACCAAGTTTTCTCAGTTCTTCTAGAATGGTCTAAATAAAATTAAAAATTAAAATTTAATTAAATATCAAACTAAAAATTTACTTGATTAAAACCTTGTTCAGCTAAAACTTCTTCTGGTAATAATTGTGAATGTAATCTTGGAGCATCAATTGCCTGTTTAATATCTTTNTTTAAAAACAGAAGTATACAAATATTTTCAAAATAACAAAAATAAATAATTCTAAATCAAGTAATTATCTTATATCAAAGTAATACCAGCTTTTGAATACAACAATAAAAATCGAGTACTGTATAATTCATACAAACAAAATGATAGAGCATTCAGAAAACTGAAATGCACACTACAAAAACCATTAGTTTTCATTACTAAAATAGAAAAAATTACGAAAAAACATTTTTTGAAACTTTTTTATGATCAGAAGTAAAGATGGAATACTATAATGACAGCTCTCATAGAATTAAGTAACACAAAACGAATCATTGAAAACAAACTCTTAATAATATTAATGTGCGCTTGATATTTACAATTACATTTTCTATCATGTTTACTTTTCAAATAAGCTTTAGCATTAAGGGTGTTCCGACCGGTTACAGTCGAGAAGTTGACCCTCGCCATCGAAGCTTGAAAAATTTGCAGTTCTCTTCAAAGTGGTTTCAGTGTTTTATTATTGGTTTTGCCAGCTAATTACAAAAAAAAGCGCTCAATCGCGCTCCCACTCCTAAAGTTCAATCAATCTTACCAAAAATCTTCAGATTGATCTCTTGGGTTAAAGATCCATTCAATAGTGGTGGATTTGAAACATTTCAGTTGAATATTAATTGTTTCATCAATAGGATGACCAAAGCCTTTGCAGCATAATAAAAGCTTGTTTTTTTCAGTTGTACTCAAGACAAATGCTGACTTTTTAGAAAAATGTCTAAGGCAAGCTACTACGATATTTAAAAATCTAATCTGTTAAGCTAATCGCTTTTATATTAAACGAAATCTAAACTATCATAATATGCGTTATTAAAAGAATATATGCTGCTTATAAGTTATCCATAATCTATACCAATCCCATCAGATCACAGACATGCACGTTTTTGCAATAGTCTACGGTTTCCTTCTGCGTCCATCTATTATATTCGTTTATTTGTTCGTTGTTCACCTTAGTCGCCTTAATCAAAAGATTTCCTTTTGAATAATTATTTTCCTTTCATTAGAAAGCTCTCGATTTTTTTTTCATAGCGATTAATCTTATTTCGATCAATATCGGTAGACACCATGAAACTATTGATTAAGATCGCAATCTTCTTATAATATGGAATTTTCGCTAAAACATGCTTTTAGAGATAACCATACGGCGGGAAAGCGAAAATTGATCGATAAACGCAAAATACTAAAACAAAATTGTTTTGTCGAAAATTTTAATTACTAGTAGTAATCTCAAGTACAAAAATGAATTAGTACTGAAAAAAATGAGTGAATGAAGAACTTGAAATAATTATAGTAAGAAATAATAACAACAAATATAAGTGATGGAGTTTAATTTTCAATTTTCATATAATATGTTGAAATTTTCGACCTTTAAGAATTTTATTGATATACTTCTTTTTCTGTTGGTTTTTGTTAATGCTAGTCTCGGAATAAAAGTAGACTCTTGGTCACAAATGATGTCTTGCTGATGATGATGACCGCCTTCTTAAAAGGTCGAAAATTTCAACGTGTTATATGAGAATTGAAAATTAAACTGCATCACTTATATTTGTTGTTATTATTTAGTACTGACTGTATTGATACAATTATAAAGTTACACAAAAAGAATAATGAACAAAAATGAGTCATATAAATTAAAAAATATAGTAGTGAATGTAACAAGCGTCCCAAAAAGAATGGGCCTCTCAAGTATTTTGATGATATCTCTTTTAATATTTGTATATTTAGACTTTATTTTTTGTTCTAAGAAAATCGATCTTAAATTGAATAGATCAATATCTTGACATCGGCAATATGTGATGGTCAATATTTTTGTCGACTAAAGAGAAGAATTTTTTACTGCGCCACCATTGTGTTTATTATAGATGAGAGGCGAATTTCGCATCGTCCTACACAAATGCTCAATCTTTAACGAACATCTTATTTCTATAATTTAGTACCGTTAAAAGAGCATTCTGCTTGTATTAACCATACTCTGATGTTTCTCGCTCGAAAATGGCATACTTACCTCTTATGCTAAATTAGATATCTAAGCAGGACAATGCGAAGTCCTCCACCCATCTATAATAAACACAATGGTGACACAAGAACAATTTCTTCCCATTAATCGATAAAAAAAATTGACCATCACATATTACCGATGTAAATGTATTGAACTATTCAATTTGAGACCAAATTGCTTATTTCATCAATTGAGAAAAACTAACATCGGAAGAAATTCTATACGAATTCTCTACATTTCAACACCAGAAGTCAACTTCCAGAAGATTCTAACCTAATAAGAAAGATTCCACTGAAAAATGACAATTGCCTATGCCGCACACGCTGTTGAATGAGAGCAAGAGCAACTGAGCCGATAGATAATATTATCATTTTTGAAAATAGTCCAGCGCATGTCTTCCATCATTGTTCATCAAGTCAATCAGAAGTAAGCTGCCCTGTATGCACAAAATTTATTCAAGAGAATAAGTTGTTCAAAAAAATCAGAGTACATATTTCATCGCTTTCAATGGGCGTAATTTGAGAAATTGATAATTACTTTAAGCTGGAACACATCTATAAATGTCGAGAGGAACGTGTCCCGGTCGACATGCACATACTCTATTAAGGCACATCGAATTGACGACAAGACCAATGCAATTATTATTTGATTGGCATGGATAGCCCAGGACGCTATCGTAAATAATTTTAGTTATAGTAAGAGTAGTGGGAATAGTAGTGATAGGAACGGCACGAACCGAAGCCGTTGCAACCAGTGCGAGCAAGAATATGAGCCACATGGTAAATCTAGAACATAAAAAAACATTGAATCACACTACGATTGTTTCATGGGCTAGAGGCTTTTTCTCTCAGAATTCCTTCAGAATATGCTATTTATTAGATGGGCCTAAATTACAAACGAAAATACTGCTATTGTCTTGAATACGAAAATATATAAATTAAAAATTTATTTTCACACAGGACTCTATCTAAAACGTAATCATATTCTATGTGGGTGAAAGAATAATAGTTCGAACTGAGCTCTTGCACTGATTACTTGAGGATGTTGGTGTAAGTAAGTTTAGATATTCACTTCGATGACATACACACGTACTCCCAATATCATCACCAAATTCACTTGCATCCTCAAATATTTGAACAATACGCATCTATTTATATTTTGTAGAACTGAGAAGAACATTTAGAATCAGACAATCAAATTGATTTTGAGTGAAACTATGAGATATGACCTACTCACAATATAAAACTATAGATGTAGCCGTCTGCACCTCTATTTGTAGTTCTTCTCATAACTGCGACTAGAGTTACGAGGCCTCCACCGTTTTAGCCAGAGGAGAATCGATAAAATAATAACAAACTTGTTCTGCTTGAATACTTATACTCGATAAGCATACATTCTTATTTCTTCAGATATCAGTTGCTTTTGTATAGCTAGTCTTTAATATAAACAATACGAACAAAAGGTCACTTTTAATACTGATTTAAGCTGCTTGTCAATAGATAAGTAATTCAATATCATCTATAACACAGTTTCAATAATAATTCGTAGCTTTCGATGATATTCATGTCTAGTTAAGTCAATGTAATCTACTCTTGTTTCATCGAACTAAAAATGTCCCTTTAAGATTTTTTAACTTTCTTCATGTATCATCATTTTCATAACTATACTTTCCATACGTGACCATGCAGTAACAATTGTTATAGAAATGCATAAAATCCCATTAGTAATACGTACACTACATGAGCGAAGAAACGCAACCGATTGCTAATTATTCCGTTAATCAGTTGAAAAGAATGTGATCTTTTTCGTAAACAGAGACAAATAGAGAGATATTGTGGTAAATTTTAGTACCAGTGAAATTCAAAAGTAGACAAAAAAAGGTGAAAAAGCGCGTGAAAACGCTATAGAAATTTCGACCGTTTTTGGTTGCTAATCGAGGTTCCTGATATCCATTCAAACGCATGCAAAAGATTGCAACGTCAAAACAGTCTTTTCTTACAAGGAGTAAAATTTTTGAGAGTTTACGCGTTACAGATTCGTAGTCATTTTCAGATCTACTTAATATACGCGTTTCTGACTCACAAATGAGAGCCACGATTAGCATCCTAAAACGCCGAGATTTTTCTTAAGTTTTTCTCTATTCTCATGCCTTTTCTATTACGGTTTTTTATGAATTTTTTGTCCGTGTAAACGATTCATACGATATCAATAATTGATACACAGATAAATGGATGTGTCTTTTTATCCATGAACTTACCTATAAAGCTATTGAACTATCAATCTATATAACTAGCATACTTAATTAAATGTGTCACTATCTATTTACTTACCTCATTGCGTATCTATCGATGTAACTACTTAGTTAAACGTCTCGACAAGAATCTTTCTCCTTCTTCTCTCTTTTAATCTGTATTGGATTTCTTTAGTTCCTAATGAATGTTCATTACAGAATGTTTTCAACACTTGATTTCAGTATATTTAAGACCGAGTAGAATTCGCTTAAACAGAGAATGTCTGTCTTTCAAGACTAAGCGAGTCATTTTTCAAATTTCTTAATGATTCGACTATGTCTATCTTGTATCTGTTAATGATTTAACTATCTTGAGTTTAATTAGATCTCTATCATTGACTACACATTGTTGATTGGTCATTGAGTCGACAGTAAAGAAAGTTTATTCGATAGAAAAGTAGTAAAACAATCAGCTGATCCCCAACAGATATAAACAAATCAAAGAGAAATGTTCAAAGTTAATCATTTGTGGTAATGATCAATGGTATTGAAAGACTTACATACTTGATTGAAGCAATTCTTAATGAGTCATATGCTATACTAAGATAAATTGCTTAAACCGTTCTTGTAGCAAATATTCAGTTGATACCAAACGGATACAATATAGAAAAAAAAGCTGCTATCGTAATCCACTGACGGAATAAAGCATAAAATACAGTCTTCACATCTCTAACTGAATGACCAGTCAGTCTCAGCCACTATTGAATGATTTGCAACACTACTTAATCGATAATCGTAACTATTTAATAAATATTCAGCTACTTATTTATTCTAACTGATTTGTTTAGAGCAAGAAGAGCAAATATTGAATATCAAGCACTACTTTATAAATATTCATAGCTATTTAAATATCACTTGGCTATTGATTATTGCAATTGGTTTTTTTAAGAAAGAAATGGAAAGATCGGATATATGTGAATGAATAAGAAAAGAGAATGTCATAGAATTGTTCTGTTATTTGAGTTGAGGATTGCTGAAATTAAATATTTGATGTTTAAATGAGTCGGAAGAAGATAAATATAAATATGTTTGAAAAATAATGCTTTAGTCAGAATTGAATAATATGAAATGAGAATATCCAAAGAACAGAAAAATAAATAAGTGTAATACGAAGCATATTTGCTGCTATTTTGTCTTTCAATAATAATGATGAATGTTGAAATGATTAGCGCCTGAATATCTCTGTTTATCAGCGTACAAAACAATAAATCGATGACAGCATTGAATCATAAATAAAAAAAAAGTAGATAAAAATCATCGTGAAAATGAATCAATTATTTAGATTATTTAAAAGCTATATATTTTTTTCTTGAATAGTCATACAATGAATATAGCTATTTAATTCATTAAAGAAATGTTGGTCTGTTTTTAATCAGCTATCAAATCCATTTAAATAGCTCTGAAAATGTTGAAATATATTCTAGATTTTAAAAGAAAATATGCCCCAGAACATCATGATTACTTTTGATAACCATTGTTATGGAAATACTGCACTTTTGCGGTATTTTTTAAATAAATTTCATGATTTCCCTCATGAACACCAGAAAAATCGATTTTCAAATTTCGACTTGCAACTTTACATAGAAACAGACCTCAATGATAAAAAAACTTTTGTGAAAGTTTCAGGTCTTTCAATTTACTTCTATCCTGAAATACGAACATAAAATCTACTGATTTATTGGAGTGATGTAAAACACATGTTATTACCAATATTTGAATCTGCGAATAGAAGCAGCGACAAGATCTTAAACATTCACAAAGACCTATACTCATTAAGGTCCTGTTTCTATGTAAAGTGGCAAGTTGAAATTTGATAATCAAGGGGAACGACGACATGTATTTACAAAATACTGTAAATGTGCAGTATCTTTGTAGCAATAAGCAAAGGGTATAAACTCTTTTCAGATTATTCATAGCTCATTTGGATCTACATAATGTGCATAATCTTAACGCAAAAGCGATTGAACAGTTGATGGTCTTCCCTTCTTAACTCAATTTCTTACCATTTGAGTTGTAACATATTCTTCATTTCTCATATTAGCAGAACACGAAGTAAACACTTGTTATCCCGTTAGACAAGTTTTCTAAATGTTTAACTCATTATGAATAGGATAAAACAAGAGTTTTTCGTTGTTTTCTTTTAATACTATCATTGTCATGGAATTTATTTCATCGTTTTCATTGTCCAATGAAACTACAAACATTAATACGAATTAAAATATTTCATCAATGAAAAACCGCTGCAATTTCAACGAAGATGACGCGTATTCGAAAAGCAACAGATATTCTATCTTGATTAAGATACATTTTCTTATTTTATTTGATCCGTAAAGATGTTGAATAGTGCATTACTCTTATGGTGCATTCGTATTAGGCTTATGGTTGTCTGTAATTTGACCTTCTAATTGGTCAATTGAGCATCCAATCACCGATAAAAATCGAAGTTTGGAATGTCTATAACACAAATCGATGCACTCACTTAAAAAGTGCCATTATTTGAATAAGTCCAATAATAGGGCATCATACTCATTGTTACCTTTTTTTCGATAAATGTCTCTTATTTCACTGAATTCTTGTTCATAACAATGTTAGATGACTTAGTATTTTTCTATGCTTTACGAAAGAGAATCATGAATCAATGTGCGTGAGCAATATGATCACAACATTCGCTTTTTGTCGATTTTGCTTTGGAGCGTGCTGTTGTCAAGTCTGATCACTGATACTATTTTGCATCTTTTCATGCCGAAGGTCCCGCATTAGAACTGCGAACATTCTGATCTAGCGTTCAACTAACTGCGTAAATTCACACTAAAACAATGCGTGATAGAACAGATTCTTTTGATTTAAATTGTGGAATTTTCATGTATTCTTTAGCCTCATTGTACTAATCTAAAACATGTAAAGTGGAAAATCTCTAGAAGACTATAGGTATTTTTCAGGAATAATCGGAAACCAGAACAACAGTGTGTTTTATTTATTTTTTGTATTTCGAATAGAAAGTTTTTCTTTTTTTATAGTAGCACTCTATGTTTTATGCCTTATTGCCATACTCCCGTTATTTTTCTTTTTCGTATTCCTTTTTTCATAATTTAACATTATCCAGTATACCTACAGCAGGTCTCAATGTACTCTTATATATCTCAACAAGCTCAGAAATACTTATATTGATGATTGACAAATCAATGCTTCATTATTCATCATTCTTAACATTCATTATATATTGTTTATCTACACAAAAATAAGAAAGTACGCTATTTAGAATATTTTAAAATGTATTTCAGCCATTCGAATTTCAACGAACACTTTAGAATGTTCTAGAATATTCTAAACCAGTCAAAGTCTCGCCGTTGTTGACATTCAGCACTTTTTTCCAGTCCTACTGTACATTGGGAAATAAGTCTGTTGCCGATTGTTCTCAATTGTTATGGAAACGTACCAAATGACCTTGGACCCCAACTGATAGGAACAAGAGAATCACACAGTTTCGACTTCAAACTTACACCCACTATTTTTTCTTCGAGAAATGTATGTGACTTCCATAAAAAAACACTAAAAATCAATTATTCAAATATAAGGGTGGAGTGAATATAAGTCTTCTCTGCACTCATCCACACTTTCATCTATTTATTACTCACTCACTCTGTAGTACTAGTGTACCAACCATGGTCAGTTGAAATGGTGTCCTCGTCAAAGTGTGTCTATCTAGAAAATTTTCATAACAGACACTGATAAACGAATTTGCTTATCATCTACATTGGGCCTTTGTCTTTGTAAAATTACTTTGAATACGAGTTGATTGATGGCAAAAGAGAATTGAGTAGAATTTTTCTTTTTTGTAATGAAACTTTTCGAAATCA